CAACTAAATAAACAGGAAGTATTTAGAATTGTTCTTAAGTGAAAAACATCAAATTGAATGAATTCATCAAATTGAAAAAATAAAAGATGCATTAGTCAATGTATTCATAAAAACAAGGATCATGAATAACTTTTAGAACATTCTTAAAATCATTTAAATAAATTAAAAATCATCTATTGTTATTTTAAAATAATTGTCTGTGAGCATATATTCAGTTTTTATCTACATTGATAACAATATAAATATTTATCTGAAAATGGTTCTGTTGAGATTTACAATAAAAAGTTGTAGATGCTACAAGAATTAGAGTCAGGCCTTATGAATTTTTGCTTTACAAAATGAGTAAGTGTAACAAGTGTGCCTATTAATATGAGTCTGATACTTTTTATAAATGTGATTGCAAATACACAAGTTTTTTTTTATTAAATATGATGTGTGTCCGGAAAGTTTTCACCCATTTGACCATCTCAAAAACTGGCTGTTTGACATAACTAAGCAACTAATCAGAGGAGGCCTTATTGTACATGAAGAGATACTCTTCAATGCTTTATTCACTTGTCTGTGAGACACAATTGAGTGTGCTTAGATATTGTGTTCACAGCAAATACATATCAAGGTTTTCTTGATACTTGATATTTATCTGTATAAAATATTTGAATGATTAAAAAGGTTACAGATGATTCAGTGCATAAACTTAGTGAAAGAAAGAATGTATTCCTAATTGAAGTCACAAATTTTTTAGAATGTACATAAGATTTTATGCAATAATGAATGTCTGTTTCTGTTTTTGTTTTATGGATGATATAGAAAAAATACTTGAAGAAGACTGAGATTACAATATAAGGAATTTCTTAAGCAATAAAAGTGCAATGTCCAAGAGTTAAAGATTGTGCTTGTTTTATGCACATAATCTTTTTTTTTTACAATGATGTTAACACTGTACAAGGCCCAAAAGCCACTCGAGGTAGAGGGTTACAGATTAAGAGGCACCACTCCAAGCAAGGTGATAATGCCACTAAGATGCAACAGGTCACCAGAAGTGAAAGAGAAAGAAAAGACTTTAGAAGGATGTTAGAAGGAACTAGAAACCAAATCCTGTTTAAAAGAACGTGAAGGAGAGTGAACTGGACAATAGGCAAATGAAATTTGAATGAAACAAATATTAACAGAATGAAATAAAGTAAATGTTTTTTTTTTGTATGGTAAAAAATCTATCTTCGTTACATAGGCTTAATCCCAATTTGACTGAGACTGTCCCAATGTTATAGGACTGTTCCGGTGTTTGCTTTTTTGTGTCAGCCCTGAAGCTGAAGGGACATTGGGTCATAATATATATATATATATATATATATATATATATATATATATATATGGACAAGCTTTATGTAATCTTTTCTCATTTTTCTTATTTTCTTTTTTTAGCACAATCAAATTTCTTTCATTTTTTATGAAGTCTTTGGAAGACTTCAAATTCTAATTTCATTAAATTGATAAGAAAAGGAATGTAAATTGTTAGCACTGAAAATTAGCATTGTTGGTGCCAACAGTTGTAGACTTTTTCACTCATATGCTATATCAATGTTGTATAAAATACACAAATGTGCTGTATCATTGTTGTATAGAATCTACAAATGTGTTGTCTTTCTAATATAATGGCTGATTCTACAAATATTAAATTTTGTTCATGTCAAATTCAAATAAAAAAGATTAATAATTTTCAAGTTTTGCTTAGGTTTAGAAATCTGAAGGAAATATTTGTTTTACATAAATATTTATTTTTCAACATAATCTCCTTCTTCGTCAATGCACTTAATTCATTGGTGGCTATTAATTGCAAGCATCAAACACTATGAAGTGAAATTTCTAGGTCAGAATTCAATCTAATCAGCCATATAAATTAATGTCACTTAAAGTAGAAACAAATCAAAAATATTTTTTCAATCTTATCTCATACCAAATCTCCATTATAAAACTAAAGATCTATTTTTAATAAAAATCTGTTTTTATTGTTACTAATTTATTTATTGTTGAATGTAATTCTTTCAGTTTAATCCCTGTAAATTGCTGCTACATGTTTATCTTAAGAGATAAGTTAAATAGCTCGCCTTGAAGAGATGTATGATTTAAGAGCTAGTCAGCTTTCAGTTTAATAGATTGTCTGATGTTTTCATATCAAAAGGTTTCATGATTAATGATTTGCCTAAAAATGAAGGAAACAGGAATGAAGTTGAAATTATTAATTTTGGGGAAATCTTGCTTTTCAATCTCCTGTCAGTGATCCTAAGATTATCTAAGTTTAATAAAAATCTATTTTCTTATTAAGAATATAAAGATAAAAAGAGATAAGCATGAAATATTAAAGGTTCCCTTTAATCATAAAACTAATATGAACATACAGATTCTTTAAGATTTTGCATAAGTGGCATGCAATGAATTTCCATTTTGGTCATATTTTAAGATATTTTTTATCTCCATTCCTACTAAGGATTTCCTTAATGGCAATTGTCTATGAATTGGTTGGCAAAAATCTAAATTCAATGGATGTCTCAAAAATGATTTTATTGACATCACAAGAGATTGTCATAAGCCAATAAATATTGATTAAAAGTAATTAAAAATGATTGTTGTGAATTGAGTTCCAGAGTAGAATGATAAAAAAAAATCTCTTTTACACACTACTCTACTTTGGTAGAATCAATGGCAGTTGGAAATAAACTCAAGGACTCCATGTCATCACTTCTGTCAGTGTGTGAATGATTTGAGAAGTTTAAAGGGAGAAAGGCAGTCATACAACTACAAGAGGTTTACTTTTGAGGATGAGAACATTTTTATCATGATATCAAAATTGAAAAAATGGTGTTATATTCTAGAAGTAAGTCACAGAAAATAACTTAAGAAGAAGAATTTTTTTTTTTTATTTCTTTGGACTTGTATTAAAATAGAACAAACAAGGCAACTGACTTTATTTATAATCGTTTGTTGATTGTTTTAAGAAGAATCTTAAAGAATAAAGAAGTTAGGATTTTAACTAAAATTTTGATATTTTTGTATTCTGACCAACAACAACATTTTGGATGAAATGTCAATTCTGATAACAATATTGTTACTTATTTAAATGTTTTCATCCTCTCTCTTTTTTGTGTTTACTATATGAATCCTGTTATTAAATATTTCTTAGGGAAATTTCTGTCAGATTTAACATAATCATTTCTTTAAAGCATTAGGAAAATGTAGAATTTGTCAAGCTGTGGAGGATGTAGATTAGGTTTTTATCTTTAATAACTGGTACAGTGGGAACAGTCCCAAGACTGGAAGAATTGAAAAATCTGAAGAGGCATTGTCTCTTGTTCATGCAATCATGGGATCAGTGCTGATGTTGAGTATTTGGAAAAACTTGAAGTATCTTAGTATTGGGATTTGCTGTCAATTAATCTCCAGTGTAAACCACCTGTTACTTCTGGTGTGAAGACTCAGTGGTGGTGGAGAATAATAATAATAATAATAATAATAATAATAAGAGTGCCATATGAGAGAAATACTTCCATAAAAATTATTGAGAAATTGTCCAAATACAAGGACCTCATGATTGAGATGAAATAGGATGTGGTGAATGAAGACTGAGACTGTACTAATAGTAATCGGAGCCTTGTAAGAAAAGAAATAGACATTTGTACTAACAGTGTCCCAGATAACATCAACATATAAGTTGCCCAGAATAAGGCCTTACTAGGAACATCCCATAGACTAAGATAAGTGTTATCAATTAAATGACAATTCTCCTATAGAGCCTAAGAACTATAGTTTGGACCCAGTTCTACAGGATACAAAACAGGAAACATAACATGGACAAATGTTAATAATAATAATAATAAATGCCCTGATGCTACACCAGGCATGGGTCTTATGGCTTCTGATCTTAACTTATTGAAGGTGTTAGCATGTTCATGTTTTGTCTTGGTCAATGTGCTACAGGAAATAAACTCAGTTCAGTAACACAGATTTACTTGTCAATTGCTTGTGTGACAGAGAGAGAGTCTGGGAAACACACACACGTATATTTTTTTTTAGTGAAATTGGAGTAGATTTGAATAGCAAAATTAAATCAGAGCATTTTGTTCACTGATGGGGAAATCTGATCTAGAGCAGAAGTTGTACCCATTGAATCTGGTTCATCAGGAGACAATGGAAATGGTCGAAATAATTTTTATCGATTAAAAATTGAAATAGAGCTAAGTAAGCTAGAAGGAACTTTGGAATTCACATGATTTTGGTTCAAGTACCAGAACCCCGTGAGAATCGCGTGCGAAGTAGTAGGGCCGAGGGCCAGTTATCTATATAAACGCGTAGTTATGCTGAAAAAGGCAGACGGGAGAAAATTCTTGAAGAGAGAAGAGAAAATTGGCGCGGGCGAGCGTTGGGAGGAGGAAAGCCACTATAACTTTAAGTCCCACACAGAAAACTTTATCCGTCCATCGCAAGAGTCATATATCGTTCTGAGACGATTTAACAACAAGTTAATCACAAAAACACTCTCTCTGTCTAGAATCCAGTGTATGAGCTTTTTTTACTTTTCTTTTCTGTAACCTGTTTCTCTTCTCTACTATTCTTTTCTGCTATATAAAAGACATTAACAATTCAACCATTGAATCGTTGTTTGTCCGGCTTTCTGCAGATATTAATTTTTTTTTTTTTTTTGTTGCATTCTAAATTTCTTAGTGCAGACTCCCCAGCCGTGTCTACATATTCTGTCGACCGTGAATGGACGGACATCACTTCTGCTTTCTGGATCAAAAAATCACAACGTGGGCAGGAAGTAGGATTAAACCAGCAGATTGGTCGAATAATCTACGGATGCTCAGGGGACCTATGGCCACTCCCTTAAGTTCGGTTAGGACCGAGTAGGCACATCAATACAGAGAGTAAGACACCGGAGGTTGAGGGTCTGGGGTGAAAGTGTTAGACTGGTGCCGTGGTGACCAGGATAGACCCGTGGGAATTACCACGGCCGTCTGAAAGAGGAAAGAAGGTTTGTTTTGTCCAGTCGGGACCAAGTAAGACTAGAAAGGACTCTAGTCTTCGGACTATATTGGTCTAAAAGGGACATAACGAGGAAAAGAGAAGGAAGCAAAAGAAGGAGGAAAAAAGAAACAAAACATGGAGCGACGGACCACAGGTAAGTCACTTTTGGTTTCCTTTTTTCACTCATTGCAATTAGATCTGCCAGTAATATTGTTGATCTTGTTTTGACTTTGTCGACTTTGTATGCAGTTGAAGTGCCACCATTGTGTTAAGTATTTTTTCTTTTGTTCTGTCGTTGATCTCACTTCTTGTGAGAAAGTGGTAGTTGACAAGATGCTAGGATGAGCGTAGCAGGATCAGACGCCACAGATGACCTTGGGGACATAGGAGTCCCCGAAATATCGATGGGTTTCAGGAGGCTGATAGGTAGCATGAAGCTACCTACTTATAAAAGGAAACCCTGCGGATCTGCCCGAATGGATTCTGTCCATTGAAAAAGAAGTAGGTGATCTATGGCCTCTCGGACCAAGAAATGGTGCTCCTAGCTTACGACGCCGCAGCGGGGCAGGTGTCCAAGTTCATAGGAGAGTGGTACAAAGAAAACCCGGCCCTGACGTGGACCGAGCTTAAATCCGCTCTGGTGCGGCAATATGCAAGTGAGCGTACGGACATTGAGGCAGTCAGGAAATTATTCCGGCATGCAGCAAGAAGAAGGAGAGACTAATGAGGCATTGGGGGAAAGTATCGCTGGGCTAGCGGCGTTAGCTTTTCCCGAGTTGGAGACTCGGGACAGTGGTCCTATTCAGGCTTTGTTGGTCGATGTGTATGTGGACGCGCTGAGTGACAGGGACCTGAGGGGCGATGTTCTGAAGGGGGGACCGGTCAGTCTGGCCGCAGCCATAGAGGCGGCTCGGACCAGCGAACGACTCTGAGATAGAATAAGAGGGGGTGTAGGTAGGAACTGCGGGGTGGGGCAAAGTAATGATGAAATAGAAGGACCGGGAGTGGATCCAGATACGGGACCCGAAAGAAGAGGTGGAAGAGGACTGCAAGGTTGGGGCAGTTCCCAATAGGAGAGCCCGGGATCAGCGTTATGGGTTTCACAAGCCCACACCGGGCCTATATGGGCTGGTGTGCTGGACTTGCAAGTATGGTGGGCATCGGGCCCGCGACTGTCTGACAAACTATGGAGGCGACCCAAGGTCTTTGGGGCCAGACTGCACGACTTGTGGCGAGTTCGGGCACAAGGCTCGGTGGTGTACGGCAGAGGGAGGCTGTAAACTGGGGATAAAGCGAGTTAATACTCTGGTGCCCCCTACCGAGAATAAAAGGGTCTGGGAAACGTCGATTGGTCACCCGTGAAAAAGTAAGATGCAGGGTGGCCCCAGTGCAAGTAAGACCTTTGAGATGCTGGACATGTGGTGTGGTCGGGCACTTTCCGGCCAGTTGTAAGGAGCAAAGGTGTTGGCGATGTGGAGGAGCGGGTCACCTGAGACGAACCTGTCCTCTCAGGGGAAAGATGGACCACACCGAATGGAACAAACCTAACTCGAATGGAGGGGAGAAATGGGTTGCTAGTCCGAGAAAAGAGAGTCATTCGAGCTCTACCCCACCCTGGAGGGTACCTAGGCAGAAATTGGAGCCCCTAGGAAAAGGTGAACTCCTGCCACCGACTCCCACGCCTCGGTTGTCGAGAAAGTGGGAGGAAGGGAGAGAACATATAGGAAGGAGAAAGGCACAGGTATACAATTTGCTGAAGGAAGGGCCAGACTTCACCTGTAATGTGTTGCTGGGAGACAAGAAGGTGAAGTCCCATGTCGATACTGGAGCTTCAGTGTCACTGGTTAGCTCCAAGGTTTTTAGACAGTTGGGACTGAAAACGAAGCTTAGCCCCGTCAATCTACTAATAAGTCAGGCTGATAGTAGCAGGATGAGGATAGAGGGTATGACGTGGCTACCTTTCCAGTTGGCAAGAACCAGAGGTAAACTTAAGGTTTATGTGGCACCTGACTTGTATGGTGAGCTAATTTTGGGGAGTGACTGGCTTAGGCAGAATAAGGCACAGATCCGTTTCGACCCTGCCACCCTAACATTGGACGGGGTAGGGATACTGTTGGGAGAGGATAATTATGAACAATTGCCAGTGGTGGCTCAGACAGATATAAAGCTTCCTCCAAGGACTACTGTATCTGGGAAGGGCAAGATTATAACAGAAGGAGTGCTGAACAGTGACCTGTACCAAGTGGCCCCTACTGATAGGTATGATAATAGTGAAGGGGAAATAACCGTGTGTGATTCGTTGAAGAGGTCGGGGACCGTTCCCTTACTGTTAACCAATACTGCCAATAAAACTATTAACTAGGTTTAAGTGGATTGTTAGCGTGCATTCGAGGCTCTAAAGGACCAGCTGACAGCTGTACCCCTGTTGGCCTACCCAGACCAGAGTAAGTCCATGGTGCTGTACACCGATACTAGTGATAAGTGCATCGGGGTGGTTCTTACACAACCATGTCCCGATAAGGATGGACCGGCTGTGCCTAAGGAAGTGCTGATCTATTTTCTGTTTCATCGGCTCTCTGAGACTCAGCAAAGGTGGCCAGTAATAGAAAAAGAGGCATTCGCCATTCTGTATGCTGTGCAGAAATTAGATTATTATTTGAGTGGGGCTGTGTTTATCATTAAAACACCACAAACCCCTCAAATATTTGTTAGAGGCAGAGTGGACGAATAAGAAGATACAACAGTGGGCATTGAAGTTAAGTGGGTATAACTGTAGAATAGAATATTTGGCAAGGAAGGATAATACCTGTGCTGACCTGTTATCGAGGATTCGGAGATTGTTTCCAACCCCCACTGGAAAGATATTATTAGGCAAAACCAAGAGGATAGCGTGATAGCAACTATCAGGTCCAGGGTAGAGGCAGGGCGTACCTCCAAATATATGGTGCATGATGGTGGTACAAGGTAGAGATGGAATTTGTTGCCCTAAACCTAGCCAGGACAGAGTTTATGCTATTAACAAAGGGAGAAGCAGAAAAATGCAAGAATGATGCCTTAGGTATCTGTGCGTATGTAAGTCCAATTTACGTGACAGGTAGTCATAATCTGTGTGTACTAGATTTATTTAAGAAAAATAAGAAGGGAATTAAAGATCATTGTCAGGTAGAGGTGTTGGCCAGCGTAATGTTACCTAAAGCAACCAGTGTATCTGATGGAATTTGGGCGGTGGCCACACAAGAAGAGATTGAATTATCTAAGGTGTGTGAAGGGAAGCCCACCACTACGAGTTATTCCCCTTTTGTTTTTTGTAGAGCTACCCATGAACCCATTGTAAGAAAGATTCCTAAGTTGCCGGTGGTAAAAGAATATATATATATGTATATATATATATATATATATATATATATATGTCTATACTAAACTGTGTAGGTCTTGCATAAGTGTTTATATTTTGGTTCTGTGTATATTATGATAACCACAGCATCAGAGAATTGATAAAATTAATTCCTTGATTCTTATTTAGTGTTGACTGTCCATATCATTATATATGTATCAAGTGATGCTAACCTCTATGAGAGCAATTTCGTGCTCCTTCAGGCTTTTCCATTGACATGAAGTGAAAAGATTATATTGAATCAATTGCTGGGTCAGCTGCTAGGAAAGCTGGTCCATTATGCTTTGCTAGACAAATTTTCTTGCCAGAATCTCTCTTACATATTTATAAGTTTACAGTTTGTCCATTGCTACCACTTCTGATCTGGTGCTTCTGCCATGTATTTAGAGATTTTTGATAAAATACAAAGAAGAATCTGCAATGTTGTTTATCCTTACCTTATCCTTACCTAGCATCTTGGCTTCAGACATTTTCCCACTGTTATAATGTAGGTTTCCTCTGCCATTTCTATAAATATTTTCATTGTAATTATTCTGATGAACTTTCCTCTTTGGTACCTAGACCTTATAAATTTAAGTATACTACTAGATTGGTGGCAAGGTCCCATTGTTTTACACTTGAAATGGCTCAATGTAACATCTATGCTAACAGTTTCTTTGTGGAACTCTATTCCAGCTTCCAGTTAGCTTTAATCTTCAAAAATTTAATTGCAATTTCAATTGTTATCTTCTGTTTTCTTAATTCCTGTTCTTTTATTGTTCTCCCTCCTTAACAATGTTTTCTTTTTCTCATATTCTTACACTATGCAATGGCTTTGTTGCTTTGCTTGATGTGAAATGATTAAAAAATTGTAATAAGAAATTTTGAATATCCTTTTTATCAAATTTGTTCTTAGGTATCATTCAAATTTTTAGTGAGAAGAAACAGTTTTGCTTGTGATGTTTGAAAACAAAAAGGAAAAACATAATGTGATATGTTATGCATTAATGGAAATAACATTTAATGTAAAAAAATAAAATTACATATTAACATAATTACATATTTAGAAAATATTGTATTTATTTATTTACGCAAATGCGGTTATAGGAACAATTTTGTGTATTTAGATTCATAAGTAGTTGTGTCATTTTAATTCTTCATGCATAATTATAATAATTTACTTATGTAGTCACATGATTTCATTTTTTATTTTGAAAAGTGGTGCAAAGAAAAACAAGAATGGAAACAAATATTCCAGTTCATTTGATAGCCATAGAAATTATTGGAAAGCAAAAATGACCATTTGAAACTCACAACTCTGCTGCTCTACGACATCAATTTAGAATATTATCAGCTAAATAACAGATCTTATATGGTAGGCTGACAGATGACTTAGCGTTTTCAGCTTCAAGGAAATAAGTTAAATGTTTGAAGGAAGCAGGAAGGATGAAAATTACATGACTTGATTTTTTATTGTTACTTCTTTTTCTTCTTATTGATGTTGTTATTTTTAGTGTTGCCTTTAGAAATTCTTTCCTACAAAGTTTTGATAATGGCTCAAATTTAAGCAAGAATTAAAAAATCATCAGAGAAATGAATTAAGAAAGTAGACATTGAGATTTTCTAACCACTTCCTGTAAATATATTTTATGAGATTCTGTCTGATAGATCTCAATGCCTGAGAGCAGATTGTGAAGAGAACAGTGTCAGTGTTTGTGTTCAACAAGCAGACACACAAAATTAGTTGGTGTATGAAAAGCACAGTGGAAAGTTACTGATTTTGTTGGGGGTGAAACCTCAACAGATTGTGAAGGGATTGGGTTTTTTTTCATTTGTCTTGATCTGGTGGATCAGCTCCAGTCAATTTTCCATCTATGTAAGGTTGCCTCTATATCTTTTCTATAAATACTTTTATGGTAATTGATTGAATGAGCTCTTCGCTATAGTACTTAGAGTTTTTGAATTTGAGCTCAGCACTAGACTGGCATTGAGATCTCATCAATTTACAGTTGAGTTGGCTAGATGTAGCCGTAAATTCTATGCTAACAATTTCTTCTCCTACACTTCTTGCTTGTAGAACTCCCTTCTGGCTCCTTGCTTTCCAATTTTAATCTGTAAAAATTGAAATGCAATTTCAATAACTACTGTCCACCTGATTACTCTCTTCTCTTTCTGCTCATCATTATTGTTTCTGTTCCTAATTCCTTCACATCCTGTAACTCCTTGTGTTTTAGTGGCATTACTACCTTGCTTGGGGTGATTCCAATTAAAAAGAATCCTGTAACAAAATCTGATATGGATTCCTCTATCTGGTGATAACTCACATCTAACCAATTGCTCGTATGACTTGTCACTTGGCTTACTTGGAGTTAAAAGATTGGTATAAGTTTATGTACCTTGCTATTGCATACACAGAGGAGAATATTTCTTTATTTCTAGAGTCCTTCTTCATCACTTGGAATCTAACTTAACCTTTTCCAATATTGCCCCCCCCCCCAAACTTACTTTAACAGTTAATGTCTTCTAAAAAAATGACACAAACAGTACAAGACTAAAGTGTGAAATTTAAAAGAAATTTACATTTATTAAATGGCATAAAAATAATGATAATATAGAATATAAAATTTATAAAAGAAGCTTGCATGAAATTTTCCAAACACAGGTAAGTACTAACTACAATTCTGTTGGACTTGTAAAAGCAATTATAATTATCAACAAAATGTTCACTTACTTTGATTCATTCAACTGCCAAAAGGAGTAGAGAAGGTTGACAATTCACAGGTGTCACATGGTTTCTGGTTTGTTTAGACAACAGTTCAGTTTTTCAAACTGAGATGAGATAGTCTTGTAACTTGTATTTTCATAAAAAGTTCAAAATCAGAGTTAATACATCTAATTTTGTGATAAACTTTCACAAACAACTATATAACAATAATCATATCTCTCTCTAAATTTGTAGATTTTTTTCTTTCTGTTTTATTTCTTTTCCTTTGTTACTTCTTTTTCTTTTTCTTTCAGTTTCTTTCTTTTCATCATTGTTTTTGTTGACAGCCCTTAGTTTTTATTTTGTTCAGATTCCAGAACTAGTTGACATCTTCCTTATGAATGCAAAACCCTTCTGTTTTCTGTTTTATTTTTCTCCTTTTTTGTCTTCATCTAAGTTTCTCACAAAACCAGCTGATGTATTCCTTATGAAAGACACAACCCTTCAGCCTGTCTGACTAGCCAGATTTCTTAAATAGCCACAAATGGGTTCCAAGTTGAATCAGAAAATTAATGCCATGGGTCTGTAAGTGGTTAAAAAATCACAAAATATATCTCTCAAAACCATGCCTGTTTGCAAACTTTATTTAGGCAATTTTTAAGACATCAGACTTGAGCTTTTTTTTTTAAATTTTATACATGTACCTTTTTATAAACTGTCATTCTGGCAGTATTTTTAC